TATTTTTAGATAATATTTTCGAGAAATTCCAAAGGCTACTTTTAGAAGACTCATAGACCTTTCAAAACCCACTAATTTCACTTAAAAACATGTGCCGTAGCCCAAGTTTATGCTATTTTCAACTAGAAGGACAGAAACTGAAATTTCCACCCAGCATAAAATAAAACTTCATACAAATTAATCCAACACTTTTAAATTCTTGTTAACATGCACTGTCTAAAAATGGAACAAAATAAACATTAAAAAGCATTTCTAAAAGTTCGTCTAAGTTCCATGAAATATTTACATAAATAGAAATATTCACTAGAAATTGAAAGAATTAGAGATTGCCGACCACTTGCCACTATGCCAACCATTGTCATGCCTCGATCTTAACCTGTAAAATTATTTGTAGGGATGAGTACTATAAATAATACTCAGTAGGAAACACTTAAGTAAACAGTAAAAATATATATTTTCAGAAATGCAAACTTTGGTCAATTGTGTCACCGTCAATTTCAAGCGAATTGGTGATCAGTCAGTCCGCTTACTCTTAGGTTTTGATAACTCCATTTCATTAGTCATAATCATCTCTTCATCTCTTGTTTAAACCACCAAACGGTGATTCCATCATGAGCAACACAATAACACATTCAATGCAAACGAAAATATATAAATCCTACATCACTTACTTAAGTGCCGAAACACCCCTACCTTAATGCTTGTAATTTGAAATATCCTTTCGTGTCCAAGAATAAAATGCAGCGTACGTCTTGCCCTTTTCTTAGAAATTTTCAGATTCAAAGTTCTTTTTTTTTGTCTATGAAAGAAGGGGCAAAATAATTTGATGCAATAAGTATGATAGGGAGAGAGAGAGTGGCCGTGTAGAATTATAAAATGGGAGTTACAAGTTTTTAATTGCAATGGTGGTAGGAGTTGTATTTAAAATTGGAGGTTACACTTGAGGAAATGGGGGTGGTTGAAATTTTAAAATGTTAACTTCCAAATGGATATGAATAGAGACGTGTAGGTTATCATCCCGCTAACCAAATGGTAGTTTTAAAAACAAAATGGCAATTAACAAAATGGAGATTAATATGCTAAGATAGGGTTGGTTAGAATTGGAGGTTACAATGGATAATAAAGTGGGGATAATGGATAAAATTTGGAGTTGAAATTTTATCTTCAAATGAATGATCGGGGACGGTTTTGGCATTGACAAAAATGGAAGTTTATTAGAATGGTAAGTTGGAGAATAAATAATGGATGATGAAACATGCAAGTAATTTGTCCAAATAAAAAAAAATAGTTTATATAATGGAAACAAAAATAGTAGTATTAAAATAAAGTGTGTCGTAAGAAAAATAATGTAGCCAAATTAACATAAAATTTTGTCGGTTAAAAGCGATTTTAACACCTTGTAAAATTTAAGAAAATCAAGTGCGTAAAATTTTACTTTCGTGACCAAAATTTAATTTAGACTATTAGGAAGTGTCGTAGCGACAAAATAATATAACCCCAATTATATTTGAGTCCTATAAGAAAATTTTATTTGAAATGAACAAAACACATTTTTTTTTCGGTCGCTACACGCCTCTTGCACCTAGTCCCCGTACTTCGACGATTGATTTGTTCGACCTCCTGATGGAGATGAGAGGAGACATGGCAGAGTTACGAGATAATGTCATGATACTACGAGCTGAGTTCGGGGACATGGCACAGTTACGATATGATGTCGCGATGTACATTTATTTTAACATTGTACAGTTCATTCATTTATTTGTAATTACGAAAAAATTGTAAAATGTTGATTATTTATGTAATATTTAAATATTTATTTTACAATGTAGCCTACCGTATAATGCAGTGTTTAGAAAAAGCTTCGATTTCAAATAATTAATATAAATCATATGCACAACAAATGAATGTAATGAATGAAATGTTTGAAAAAAATACTAAATCTAATAATTCACATAAATAATATGCATAAATAATTAACGTTAATGTTATAAATAATTACATTGCCAATAGTTATTAAAATTACACATCCGTTACATTGTCATGTAGAGGAATCTGACTTGTACAATATCTTCTAGTATGCCCTGTTGCACCGCACCTACTGCACTTACGAGGCTGGGAAAACTCTTCGATAGATGGTATTCTAGACGTACGTGTACGTCCAGAAGTACGTGGTCCAACTGCTGGTGGCAACAAGTTATTCAGTGGGAGAATGTGGTCGGGCACTTCCCACTCGACTTCATTTGGTACAGGAAATATTGTTTCCGTATATGCTGCTCTCCAATAATCAGTCATGTAATACACACTGCATAAGGTGTGTAGTAGTAATCCTCTATGCATAGCCACTGCCACTGCATGTGTACATGGAAAACTCTCCAACTGAAACCATCTACACGTGCACGTGTTATCATTCAAGTCCACAATGTATCCGAAATTACGTGCACATCTCACGGAGAAGCGAAAAAATTACGTGCACATCTCATGGAGAAGCGAAATTGATCCAGTGGTTCTACATATACCTTTCTTGCCACATCTAGAGTCTTGAAGAGCTTATCTTCTTGAGCCGGGGTTAGCACACTTGCACAACTCTGTGATTCCTCACGTCGATCATGAAACAACTGTTATAGCTTGTCACGAATGTTCTCAATCATTGCGAGAATTGGTAACTCTCGATCTTTCTTGAATAAAGCGTTAAGCGACTCCGCATTGTTCGACGTCATCATGTTGTATCAACGTCCTGGAAAATGTGATCGTGCCCAATGTTCAATCCCCATCTCTGTTAGATACTCCCATGCAGCAGATTTACTGTCTATTTCGACCATGAACTTATCAAACTCTTCAAAACTGTAAGCCTCTGCAGCTCTCCTAAACAACGCAACGACGCCATTGCCTCGATACTTGGTCTTCAAGTTTCCCTGTATATGGTACATACAATAACCATGATGTGCCTCGGGGAAGACTTCGACGATACCATTTATTATTGACTGCCCTCGATCGGTTACAATTGCAAGATTTTCGACATCTCCAATTACTTCCCTCAACTTCGTGAAAAACCAACTCATTGCTACATCATTTTCTCCGTCGACTATGCCGAACGCAAGAGGGTAAATTTGGATGTTCGCATCTTGGCATGTTGCAATAATCAACTTGCCCCCGTATCTCGCCTTAAGGGTTGTACCGTCGACTAAGATTAGGGGTCACATTGTATTTCGAAATCCTCGAACACATTGTCCAAGGGCCATAAAGAAATATTTGAAGCGATTTTCGTCATCCTTCTCAATAAAAAATGCCGACCCAGTATTAATTCTTCCCATGTTATAACAATACCTGGCCAATGTAAATAAAAATAATCATAATTTAGATAATATATTAAATATTAAATGAACAGAAAAATAAACAATTCAATTAAATAATTAATTACATATAAATAAACAATTGAAATTAAATAATTAAAATTTAAAATAACAAAGAAATAAACACTTAAACAATGAAATACCTGGCTAATTTAGCATAACTCTCCTCAGCCGAACCCATCAAATCCTCCAATGCACATTCTTTAGCCTTCCAAACCTTCTGATAGCTCATGACCACCCCGTACGCTTGTCGAACATCATTAATGATATCCGAAGGTCTGTAGATCGTTCGTGGATCCTGGAACTTGTGCATTATTTCTTGACCAATGAACCATGATCGGGCCTGCCTATGATCATTTCGACGAATACCCACTTCGCAAGTATGTTCCCGTGCATACTTACGGACTACAAAGAACTCATTCGTGTCCATATTAGTCGCTCGCAAACGCCAATGGCAACTGTTGTCAACGCAGATAATTGTGTATAACGACTTTTTTGATTTCTTCACTTTAAACTCGAAGTTATGTTTTAAAGCAATCCGGTGCACAGCTTCTTGCAATTCTTTCTTTGATTCGAATAGTTGCTCGACATATACATCTTCATCATCGGGAACTACACGCGAACAATTAGAGGACCGCGTACTCGGTCCGGCCTGTGAGCTCCCACCCGACTCATGTCTCCTACGAGATAAAGCAATCAAATCCTCGTTTGTAAATGCATTTTCATTCTCGTTGTCTTCAACTATCGATGGAATTCTGTGGGTAACAGTGTGACCATGGTGAGTAGCAGTGGTCTCGGGAATAACCACATCATCTTCATGAACAATCTGAATTGTATCCCAAACATCATTTACATTACGATTCTCTTCATTTGAAACTTCGTGTTCACCCTCGTGGACATTCTTCCCCAATAAAGTTACGCAAATAGGAGTCGACTTCCGGTCTTGGTTCAATTTAATTAGATATTTCATTTCCACTTCAGAAGTAATTTTCATAGGTGAAATTGAAATGGTTGAATGCTTATGAAACAAAAATCCCAATTCCATATCATACTGAGAGGGATCGACGTTAAGCATGTTTTGTATATCACTGTACATTTCTGCGAACGATGTACTCCTTATTATAAAAATTGCTTTAACCACATCTCCTTCACTCGTCCATTTCCATTCCCACTGAGTATTTTCATTCATTTGAAATTCACCAAAGTAACAAATTGGGACACATGCTGATGCTATATCTGCCACAAATTAAAAATAAGGAATTAATATATAATTTTTTAAATTGTTCATTTCATATTTAATTTAATTTAATACTTTAAATAATTTATTGATTATTTTAATTGTTTCAAAAATATTTATTTCAATTAGTATTTAAATATTCATTAATATTTATTTCAATAAACATATATCAATGAACAAATAAATTCTAAAATCTGAAAGGGGAGGGAAAAAAAAAACCCGGCTGGGCCGGCTGTTTCCAGCGGCCCAGACAACTGAGCCGGCTGTTTCCATCCAGCCCGGACAACTGGGTCGGCTGGAAATATTTGGCCCAACTTTTTCGTCCGTTTCATCTGAAATTTACGCTTGAATTTTTTTTTTTTCCCCTTTTTCAATGAAATTTTTTAGTTTAAAAAGTACCCCGGTTGTGGCTGCAGTTATTTCAACTTTCCATAATTGGCTAAACATGACAAAACTGTCGATTTCTCTGCAACTATCCACATCGAGATAATTATAAAAATTGAAAAAATTCCCCTCGGCATCCAAATAGATTAGATAGAGTGCAGCTGCAAGAAGCGAAATTGATTTCCGGAAATAGTAGTAATGGAATCGATTGTGCAAATGCCGTACGATGCCACAGTTCGCCTTATGCTGGCTTCACTCGAACGCAATTTGCTGCCGGACGTCGTTATACGACGGCTCACTCGCCTGCTTCTTGCCAGTCGTCTCCGGTCCGGTTATAAACCCTCCGCTGAGCTCCAATTGTCCGACCTCCTCCGCTTCGCGCACAGTACTGTCTAAAATTTCTGAGTACACTCTCGAGTAGTTAAAGAATGAATGTTTATTATATTTCTGTGAAATGCATTTAGTTGTTGTTTTACGGTTTATTTGAGTTTCAAAGTGAAATGGACGATCCCCGAAGAAAATGTTACTGATTTATTTTTTATCTGCTTGACTTTTGAGGAAAAAATAGATAGAACTGTTCACATTAATTTTTCAAGTAGAAAAAATTGAAAATTAATTTTTCAATTAAATATTATTTATATTATATTTATTTATTGAAATGTGAAAGTGAAATCTATAGCTAATTTATTTAATAAAAAAAGCTTATATTTAAAAATATCACATTAATTTTTCTGGTTTGACATTATTTATAATTTCATCATTGATTTTTCAATTAATGTTTATTACATATGTCTAATGTTTATAAATTTGCTTTTTTACTGCATGACTTGAGTTTCATACAATTTGTAATCTGTTGCTAATATATCTTTAATTTGTAGAATTTCGAGGAAAAGATTTTAAATTTAAAAAATAATCACATCATATTTTCAAGTTAATGTTATGTTCAAATGAAAGGATCATAGAATTGATATAAACTTCACTGTGAGAAATTGCCCATTTGAACTCAATTATAGCCAAAGTTAATAGTTATCACAGTTCATTCTTGTCTTGTATTTCCAGTACTTTTATTTAAGCCTCTTCAAGATTTGGTGATGTAGAGCAGACAGAAAGAGAGTAAAATGGAAATGAATCACGACACTATATCTCAGCACAGGGGCATACTGATACAAGAAAACATACTAATGTAATGCATACATTCTTTTCAGCCATGCCTAGTGAATTAGGTTTGTCTAAAGAATTTAGAACATCCTAGCTCAGATTTTAGCCATGCCAAGATGTTCTGGCTGATTTCCCAGAGTACACCAGCTTCCCATTTTCCCCCTATCCTTCCAATTTTTGTGTAATTTTTATGTTACATGGTTTATACAAATCAAAGGAGCTAGATGAATGCTGCTAGACATTGTATAGTAATACCCTATCAAAATATTAGGTGTATATTCAAGAGCATTTTGAAAAATGTCAAAATGGCGGTCAAATGTGAATTGTGGTTATCCATTGCTAGTCATGCTAGAGTATAGGTGATTGGTAGTTGTTGTGGCATTTCAGCGCTTATCATGCTATGATATCGTAACGGAACATATAGAATGACCTATACCAATAAGGATTGGTAATCTGGCCCTAATTAGGTTTTTGATTTCATGGAACTTTTGTTTCCCAGAAAAGTATATACTTCAATTGCTCTTTCCTTGCAGCATTAAGAGAAATGCCAATAGCCATTAAGACAGAAAGGCCAAAATCCCAACATTATGAAGTTCCGACATCTTTCTTCAAGCTTGTTCTTGGAAAGCATCTTAAATACAGGCAAATATTTCCGTATTCTCTGAAATTTTATTCTTTTAATATAAACATCTTTCATGTTGACGTTTAGTATTGGAGTCTGGTGTTCTAAATTTGAAGACTGAAAGCTTGCTCTTTATGGGAGATTTTGTTTCATGATAATCTGCAAGTCATTGACTCTGTTGGGAGCTGATCAAGGTATTAATGCATGATTTGTTACAGTTGCTGCTTCTTTTCTGACAAGTCAAGCACCTTAGAGGATGCTGAAAAGGCAATGTTGGAGTTGTACTGTGAGAGGTCGCAAATAAAAGATGGCCATGCTGTTCTTGATGTTGGATGTGGCTGGGGATCACTTGCTCTCTACATAGCAAAGAAATATCCCAATTGCCAGATTACAGGGATTTGCAATTCAGTGACCCAGAAAGCGTACATTGAGGAGCAATGCCGGTATTTTTCCTTGATAATTTATCTTATATAAAATATGCCATTTAGGCATAAAATTCTTGCTGATTGACCTGTGTAGACCTCATAATTTATTGTGCTTGTAGGCAGTTACCTTTTTTTGTTTAAAAAAAGATTCCACTGATAATTTAAATGGGTTAATTTCACAAACGGTCACTGAACTTATCTGAAAATTACAAAATGGTCACTGAATTTTAAAATTTGCAAAAACGGTCACTGAAGTTTAGAGCGCTTTTAGAAACGGTCACTAAAGTTTAAAAATTTGCAGAAACATTTACCCAGATTTTAAAGATTTTTGGGCGAGACTTGCGGCAATTTTTTGGCAACTTTTGACCACCAAGACCGCTGAATTTGGATACCATTGGAAAGCTACAATGTCCTTTTCAATTACTAGTCAAAATCTCCCCATAACTCCAAAGAATTCGGCTGGAATAGGTCCACAAAGTCAGCTCCCCGAAATATGAAAAATCTCCACAGATTGGGGAGCTGACTTTGTGGGCTTATTCCGACCGAATTCTTTGTAGTTATGGGGAGATTTTGGGTGGCGATTGAAGAGGATATTGTGGGCTTTTCAACGGTATCAAAATTTGACGGTCTTGGTAGTCGGAAGTTGCTAGAAAATTGTCGGAAATCTCGTCCAAAAATCTGAAAAATCTTGGCAGATTTTCAGATTTCGAGGAGCTGAATTTGTGGGCTTATTCCGGCCGAATTTTTTGAAGTTATGGGGAGATTTTGGATGGTAATTGAAGAAGACATTGTAGGCTTTTCAACGGTATCCAAATTCGGCGGTCTTGGTGGTCAGAGGTTGCCGCAATCTCGCCTAAAAATCTGGGTAGATTTTTCAGATTTCGGAGAGCTGAATTTGTCGGCTTATTTCAACGAATCCTTTGGAGTTATGGGAAGATTTTGGGTGGTAATTGAAGAATACATTGTGGGCTTTCCAACGGTATCCAAATTCGACGGTCTTGGTGGTCAGAGGTTGTCGTAATCTCGCCTAAAAATCTGGGCAGATTTCGGAGAGTTGAATTTGTCGGCTTATTTCAATCGAATCCTTTAGAGTTATGGGGAGAATTTGGATGGTAATAAAAGAGAACATTGTGGGCTTTTCAACGGTATCAAAATTCGGCGGTCTTAGTGGTCTGAAAATTGCCGCAAAACTCGTCCAAAAATCTGAAAAATCTTAGCAAATTTTCAGATTTCAGGGAGCTGATTTTGTGGGTTTATTCTGGCTGAATCCTTGGAGTTATGGTGAGATTTTGGGTGGTAATTGAAGAGGACATTGTGGGCTTTCCAGTGGTATCCAAATCTGATTGTTTTGGTGGTTGGAAGTTGTCGGAAAATTGCTGCAAACCTCGCCCAAAAATCTTAAAAATCTGGGTGACTGTTTTTGCAAGTTTTTAAACTTCAGTGACCGTTTCTGAAAGCGCTCTAAAATTCAGTGACCGTTTTTTATTTTTCAGGTAAGTTCAGTGACCTTTTGTGAAATTAACCCTAATTTAAATTTAGCATTATTTGGCATTATTTCAACTAGATATTGTCTATTTAACAAAGACTACATCCAAAATATAACTTTGCACTCTCTTATTTTACATGGAAGGGTGGGAAGTGGACAAAAATCTTATAGAATATTTTGACTCCTTAACTTCGATAGCATATCTTACCTACAAATATGTCTTATAGTTTTGCTCCATCTGAATCCTTCTCAATCTCCACGTAAAAGCCTTGAATACATCTAAGTTCTGTATCTATATTGATTCCTCAAGCTTGGCTCAACTTATTACTTATTAATTCAATTTTGTCCATCTGAATATCAAGTCACCAGATTTAAGTGCTTATTTATCTCCAGCTTCGAATTTATAGTAGATATGGGGGAGGCGTCTTAAATCCTTGTTCCTCGATAATGCTTTGCTTTACTCCCAGCTTTGGATTTATGCCGCATAGCCTTGGATCTGTGAAGGGTTCGACAAAGTAATAATATAAAATATAGTTAAAAACAAATAAACTAACAGAAAAGGAATTATTAACAGGGACAAAATTGCAGAAAGCAGGACTCTTCTTGAAATTCTGTTTGGTCAGGCTTCTTCCCATTTTTGTGTTTATTATCGACTTTTTGGAGAGTTGCTGCCAAGTTTCTTTTCTTTGGAAGAGGATCATTCTTTTTCTCTCTCCCTTGCTTTAGTTGGTACCCAGATTCAATTTAAATTTCTCATAGGTAGAGGTCTTGGATTCGAACATTAAGGGACGTGACAGAAAATCATGAGAGGTAATAGGGCATATGCTCTCCCAAAACAGACATTATGCCCTTGCTTGGCCCCTCATTATTGGAGATTTTAATTTTTAGAATAGTGTCTTTGGAGAATGTGTAATTAAAAAAAAAAAAAAAAAAAGGAAAAGTTTGCTGTTTAAGTTTAATATTACTTTATTGAAAAATGTGTAATTGGAAAGAAGATAGATAAAAATGTATTAAAATTTTAATTGGGCCAAATGGGGGCTATGGATAATATAACGACTTGAGCATAGAATTCGGTCGTTACACTATCTTTTCTTTCCAATCAAACGTATTCCAGTTCTAGTTTGAGCTTCAATTTCTCATTCGACCAAGCACAATTTGGGCAAGTGGATACATAATTTCAATGTTCTCGTAGAGGAGAATGCAAATCTACTTAATCTCCCAAGAACAAGAAGTGAGTCCCAGTCAAATTATGCCAAAATCCAGCCATTTTCCAACATCGATCTCAGCAAAACTTTGACGTGAAGTTGACATAGATGTTTGAAATGTGGTATATTTTTCTGGAATCATTCCAATTCTTAAATGCTCAATCTTCACTAACTTATTAGTAGCTAAATGATTTATTATGATCAAAACTTGGTTTATAGTCTGAAGGTAATCCATCAAGATTTGCATTATAATTTTTTTAAAACCTCTTGCATACCTTCTCAGCTCTTATAGGAAACTGGAACAAGATCCATCTATGTATTTCTACATACAATTAAGGCCTATATTGATTTCCATCTTTGTTCATATTTTTCTCCCCAAAACGAAACCTGTAGCAAGAAATTCCTTCTGACATTAATTATTCTGCCTCACAGGGATCTTCAAGTGCAGAATATTGATATCGTAGTTGCAGATATTAGCACATTTGATATGGAAGCTTCCTACGACAGAGTATTTTCTATTGAAATGTTTGAGGTACCTAATTCTTGTCAATTCCTAAACTAGGCCATGAGGTTTGGGGAGGCTGATAAGCTTGTTTTGTTCTTTGAAAAACAGCATATGAAAAACTATCGGGACCTTCTTAAGAAGATATCCAGGTGGATGAAACCAGACGGTCTTCTTTTTGTCCATTATTTCTGCCATAAAACATTTGCTTACCACTTCGAGGTAATTTTGCGTGATTGTTTTTCTTTTCTGTTATTGAAACTCAAAGTTGAAGAACATAAGATATTGTTGATTTCTGCAAACAATTGCTGCTGAATTGTTCTCATCAAATTTAAACAAAGAGACTAAATAACCATTTCAATAACTCTATTGTAGGATGTCAATGAAGACGATTGGATCACTCGGTACTTCTTCGATGGAGGCACGATGCCTTCAGCAAACTTGCTCCTTTATTTTCAGGTGAGCTTACCACAAACTCTCTTTGCTGATTTCTCCCTGCAGTTTCCTTGAAAATGAGCTTTTGCTACATCTTGAGATGTAGCCAAGTAAAACGACATCCGTTTCAATTAGGAAAGAAAAAGAGAAAATGAAGGAACTATTAATATCAACACTTCAGGAAAAATTTACACTATCCTGTATTTCCATGAAGAGACAAAGGAACATTTTCCCACTAAAACGCAAAAAATAACAAAGTATATGCTTTAATTTGCTTGAAAGGAACTGAGAAACGAACTGTTCAGGGATTATGTAAGCACAGGGGCTCAATTTTTATTGATGATGGTTTTACTATTGGAACTTTGAGGCCAAGTACGACTAGCTACTGCTGGTTCTTTTTAATATGCAGGATGATGTGTCAATAGCTGATCACTGGCTTATTAACGGAAAGCATTACGCACAGACAAGGTAACGGATGGATTTTGCGAAGTTATTAATAATACTTCCTGGAATATGACAATGAGAAAAAATTGGGTTTGATATTGGAATGGTACATGAATCCTATGAAAATGCTGAGCTAGCACTTGATCTTGCAGTGAAGAATGGCTCAAAAAAATGGATAAGAACTTGAATTCTGTGAAGCCAATAATGGAATCAACTTATGGCAAGGATTCAGCTGTTAAGTGGACTGTCTATTGGAGAACATTTTTCATTGCAGTTGCTGAACTATTCGGGTACAATGATGGAGAAGAATGGATGGTTTCCCATTTTCTCTTCCGGAAGAAATGACTAGTAAATTCTCAAACCGTAAATCCATATGGCCAACATACAGTTTCAAAATTTCTACCATTTGGAGTACTAAATATGACATCAGCTCAAGGTTTTTATTATGTATGCATGGATTGAATTGAATTAATCGTGAATTTCATATGCTATACATTGCTAGATCCAAAATCTTGGTTCACTTCTAATAACTGCATTGTTTGTTCACCGGGCTGACTTGGGGGATTATTACTTCATATCTTGTACTCCCTCCGTCCCATTTATATATGCCGACTTTCCTTTATTTTATTTATCCAGATTATATAGTCCTATTTTTTTCATTAAAAATGTTTTATTTTGTCCATTTACTAATAAACTCTTTTTTAATTTGTTTAATTCTAACCAATCATTCAATTTCTTTACTATCATCAACAATAATTTACTACTAGTTCTCGCTAATTAAATAAGGGTAAACTAGAAATTTTTTTGGTAAAAATTGTTTTCTCAATAACATTAAATAGGATTTCTTAATCCATGTGAAAAATAGAATTAGCCAATATAAATGGAACGAATGAAGTATAAATTATAAATGCTCTTTCCACGAATCTTTAAAAAGTATTTTTTTTCACATTTATTGTCAACTGCACATTTTTCCAATAAATTGATTTTGCACATAACCCATAACATTTTTTTATTAATCACATATTCTTCAAAAAATTACATTAGACATACCCTTATTATGATTGCACTTATTCTGATGATTCAATTGGATGTTTCAGTAAATAGATCAAATAGAACAAAAAGAAATACCTAGCGCAATCTGTGCTTCTAGCCTTTAACTTGGAGGCAGAACGGCCAATTTAATTAATTATAATGCCGTACCAGAGCATTGAGCTAAAATAGCTATACATATTGGTAGAATATGGCGTGTCCCAAATGGTACAGATACCAAAGGACATTGAAACCCCAGTTGAAAACTATAGGGCTAAACCATGTTGAACAGATTAAAGTTACATTCTATGACAGAAATGAAATGGTCAAACGGGGAAAAAAATTTGTGTTAGGTTCTGCTCTTAATCTTTCTTTGGGATTTCAAGTCCACCACCACTACGGAAATATTGTCTTTGCTGCCCTTCTGAAGAGCACGGTTAGATAGATACTCGGCTGCTGCTTGAGCTGCAGGATCAATTCCTTCACCCCTTCTGATGGGAAGAGTGACGCCATTATTTTTATGCCATACGAGTATCTTTTTACGAGCCATATCACAAACCTCCTCGTTGGTCATGACATCCCATAAACCATCACTAGCCAGAATGAGGCATTCGTCTTCCCTAGTCCGGGGAATAAAAACCACTTCGGGATCTGGAATAATCCAGGGTTTCAAGTATCTGTCCCCTGCAACAGCCAAGGAAAAGTTGAACATACTAAAATGCTAGTTTTCCATTAACTATAAATTTTAGTTGCAAATACACCACTGACTCACTCTACTTACGAGGACACTGGTGAAATACATTGTCTTACAATGGCTGACGTGTTAGAAAGATAGGTTCGTAATTGTCTAACATCTACTATTTCTGAGATATCCTAATACAATTCATGAACCTCTTTATTCTAACGATGCAAGTCTAGTACCCAGTACCAGTAACAAACAAGATTTTAGTTTTATTAATACTATCGTTTGCAAATCAATCCTCTCTACTAACTTTGCAAACAAGGTGTTTAATGTATTCTACTCCCTTGAATAATGAAGGCAAATGTTATGATAAGGAAATATTCAATGTCTCAAATAAGGAAAAGAAGATAGTTCATTATTTCAAAGGGAATGTCAGTAACATTTTCTTCTGATTAGGTAGTACCGTACAACCACCTACCCAAACAGGCCATATATGATTTGCCGTGTCTCATAGCATGCCAAACTTCCCCATCCCACCTGACCCATTCCCATCAGGAAATAAAGGTAAAGAGAAACAGGAAAACAAAATAGTATCCTCAATGAACAAACAACAAATATTAAAACAAGGCCTATAAATGGTATTTCATTTTTATATTGAACGGATAATCTCGAGAGGTGTTAACTCCACAAGTATTTGCATTCAATGAGAAGTTCAATCCAAATAAGGTTTTTTGCTCAACATCAGTAACAAAACCTAGGAATGACTGTCCTGTATCTACATTGCAGAACATTTCTAGGACTTCCAGAATACACGTCCACGTCACTAGAACAAATCTTAGGTTTACATTTTGACAATAAAAAGTATCGAACATTGGCATCTCATTACAGAGCACCTACCTCATGAATAATTGTGCTACTGTGCAGTGTGTAGGCTATGGTAGAACCATGAAATATTTCGGGGAAAAAAATAAAAATAAAAAGATAACGATGCACAGTTATTCACTTCATAATTGATTTTATAACGACAAGAAATTGAAAAAATATCCCTAAAAGATGTTAGGTACCCTACAGGAGCATGCGAGTTTTGATGCAATCTAATTTGAAACTGACAGAATGGGAAATAAAGGCGGTGAAATTTGTACCAATAGATCTAGACATTGCAAGGACACCAAAAACACGATGTCCATTCCACTGTATCACTTTTCCTCCGGCTGCTTCAATTCTTGCATATTCATCTTCCCTATTAGGCTAACGTAGGAAACAAAAGGATATTAGCTCATAATGATTACACAATATAAGAATGGATTTATAACATGTTCGGCCAGGTTTAAAGATTACATCTGACTTCCTTTCTAGAATAGTATGTTTGTCAGTAAAGAAGTAACTATGAAAATCATGTTTGACAAAATAAGTAGCTTAAACAGGCAAACGTGTTCTTTGCATGCTTACTTTATGATCCACCGATAATGCCATGGGCTCTTTCCCACGGCATAAGACTGCCCTTGAATCGCCACAATTAGCTACTATAATGTGTGATGAACAAACTATCGCAACAACAGCAGTCGAGCCAACAGTTTCCGGAACGACCGGTTCAATACTTGTTTTCCCTCCAATTTCGTCGTCAACTTTCAGAAAGCACTTGGTGAATGCTCTTCTCCACTTCTCTTGGCAGTTACCTTTACTACTTTCATCAATCAGATTGGCCATAATTGTTTCCAATTCCTCAGCCAAAGCCATATGCATTCGCTCCCGACAGTAATTTGCAACCTGAAAATACCAAATCTCAAACACAAGTTCATAGTTGTCAACAAAGGGTGTCCATTGTTGTGTATTCATACTTTTGTTTTTAGGTCACCCTAAATCCTATGTTATATAAAGGAATCTGAGGAATGGCCATTTTTCTATGCATGCAACGATGACAGAGAGCCGTCACGTCTCCTATTGTAAAACTTCTTGATTATAATGAAAACTTTTCAACAGCGAATGGACATAACTCTTACACTATAACGTTGTGTGTTTTAGTAGTTTTTCTGGTTTCTTTTACGTTTATCTTTGCAATTGAAGTAAGGATTTAAGATTTAAATTTTAATCCGTAACGTCTATTTGACACCAAATATGCATTCATGTGTGAGAGTGTGAGGGAGTGAGAAAGTGAGAGAGAGACCTGAGAGCCTCCATGGCCATCATAGACTCCAAAGAAATGGGTTGTCAAATGACTCAAACGTTGTGTCTCTCCATCAAGCACGCGATCATCAATTAGCATCTGTAGAGGAATTTTGAGAAACCTAGGCACAGTCGCAACTGCATCTTCCATTTCTGGTCTCCTCCCACACACAGATGTGAATCCCCAAAGGGGCACATAATCCACCTGAAAAACACTTCGCCTGATTCTTTCACACGAGGTTCCGTCCAACTGAATAACAACTGTTGATTTGGAAACCGAACCATCTGGAACATCTCCCCTAGCTCCTTCTGCCACAGATAAGGAATTAAAAGTGATATCACCAGCAGTTGGCTCTCCCAAACATGTTGCCTTTGCTATGATTTCATAATCACTCGTAGGCTTCTCAACTTCGATAAAATTTGTCGTTCCAATCTCAGAAATTGCCTCGAAACCTAAAAAATCATCACCACATATACTACTAGAATCACTCACCACAGACAGAGAACATGAGCTATCAAGAACTGGATCCCCCTCCAACGACGATAAACCATCCTCTTCACTTTCTTGGACTACAATATCCGTAGCTAGTGCGGCATCTCTCACACTATGAGTCTCCTCAGGCCCCAACAAAACTGTGGACTGAACATCAATTTCCAAATCACCTGAACTGCAATCCTCGCAATCACCGTTGACAGAGTTGGACATGGAGCTTTTAGGCCGGGAATCTAAAACGAGATTAGTCTTGTCAGCTTCCAACTTTAAGCCAGTAACATCGATACACCTTTCTACACTCAGAATATGACAAATCAAATTACCTAATTTAAATGGCACCGAAACCGCCAGATACAAATCCTCCATCTAAATCACTTTCAAAACAGTAGAAATAGTCACCCTCCTGCCCCTTTAAACTTACACTCATTGCCATTGTTATGTCAAATTAATTCATCGCCTTCTTGAAAATCTCAAAATAAAAATAGTGGGTTTCAACAAACCGTTTCCCATTCCTCAGAGGAAATGCATGACTAGAGCTAGAGCTAGATCAAGAACTCTTCAATTCACAGATGATTAGGCATTCAATTCAACCTGAAGAACCTTAAAAGTGGAATGGGTAGTTAGATCTGATGAGGAAAAATATAATAACAACTACCATTTGTAACAAATTTCACCATCAAAAAAAGGAAACATGAACAAAAATAATAAAAATCCTACAAATCCAATCGAATTACTCGTACATATAGGCAAAACAAAGAAATTAAGCTCAACCCTTTATCCTTGACAACGAACACAAGAAAAGAAAAAGAAAACAAAAGGGTTCATGTGAAAGAACCTAGGAACGCAAAGGAAGGGCAAAGTTTCAAGAATCACAAGAAAAATCTGAAAAGATAAGCACTTTTTTTCACATAAAACCTGAGTACCCTGGAGCTGAAGCAACCCCAAGTCAACCCCTTCCCGACAGCTTCCTTTTTGTCTATGATAACTCCCTCTTTCAACTAATAATCACTTCTAAACTTTCTTCAATATACACCCAAGAAAATAAGTGGAAAAACTAAATATATGTTATAACTAGTATCTTCTCCATTTATAAGAAAGCTTTAGAACTAACCCACCTTCCACGGTCTCCATTACTTTGAAATGAGCTAAAAACAGAGGAAAAATCATAAAAGAATATAATAATTTCAACTTTCGGCTGAATCCAATAAGAGCAGCGGAGAGAGTGTGTGTGTATAAATAAAATGGAAAATACTAGATATTTAATTGATTAATTGTAGTTATTAAATGCAGAAAGGGAGAGAAGAAATGGACAGGTGTCTAATCTTGAAGAGCATTTTAAAGCATCTCCACCAGTTTTTTACATGCGCCTTTCCCTTTTGCGTCCAACCATTGAAAGGTTGAAACCGTGTTACTCACTCAATTTACATCCGTATCATTTGTTGAATTTTTATTTTTATTTCAAATTTATCACTAAATTCATTATTTTACTCCAAATTTCAGAGTTGACCTCACAAATGATTATCTGATGTGACGTCGACGTAGAGGTCTTTTATGTCACCTGTCCATCAAAAAACTTAAAGCATATTCGATAATCCCAAAATTTTTATTTAAATGGTATTTATTCTAATTTAAAATAAGCGTATATTTGAAAAAAGTTTTGTAATACTAAAGGAAATTGGGATATCATAAAAAACATTTTATCAAGAAAA